GGGGGGGTAGCCGTGCGAGCCCAGACCTACACGAACATAACAACGCATGGTTACAGCACGTGATGGAAATATGAGGCAATGTTTGTGCCAGCAAATCATAGAGTTTCAATTACTGTAAATATGCAGGGTTTTTTTTAACCCCTGCACTGGGGGGGGGGGGGGGGGGGGGGTTCTGTTTTGGTCAGACGTCAGAAAAGAGGAAAACATATTGCAACTGTAAGCCTGTCTTCATCTTCCAGTGGATCAGTGCTTCCATCCTCCTATGAGTTAACCTGGAAACAAGAGGCAAATGCACGCAGCATCATTACTAGTAGTCGTTATTGTTATAGATAATGACATGGCTGGATGAAGCAGTTAGTGGGCCCCTAGGACAAGAATTTGCTGTAATGTGATTAACACTTCTTTATTTGTGTACCACGGAGCAGAGGGCTCTCTCTGCAGGTAGGGACCAGAAAATAACACAAAACTGCAGGATTCGCTTTAACTGAATCAGACATGAGTATTTCAAGGTCCTTAATTAATTAAATCATCAGCAATCAACTGACATGCAGGGAATCTGGGACTTTTTGGGGCCTGTGGGCAGTAGCCGCCTCTTCCCTGTGATAATCCAGCCCTGGAAAATAACTCCATAATAACCCAAGAGCGTGTTATAGGTCTACAGTTCACATGGATGAATGAGAAAGAAAGAAAAATTTAACAAACCATTAGAATCTCACTGTAAATTACTTATTCTGTCCATGGATGGTTGAAATGAGGATACAGGACACATGCTTAACTAATGCATAACTAATACATGATTCATGATGACTTGTTGCATAAATTAAAGGCCCCAAAAACTATTTTCCCAATCAGCTTCTTGCAATGAGTCCAACATGAATACAGTGTTTTGTGCCACTCTTGATAAATAATAACTAAATACTACTACTAAACTACTCCCTATATTAACTTACAGCTAATGCCACTAAATTAGCTGGAGACTGGACACAAAAAAGCGGGCATTGATCAATCTTTCTGAAAGTAGAACAGTATCTGTTCTGACATCAATATGGAGCATATTTTTTATCAGATGCAAACATCTACCTGTTACTGCATGGCCTGTTTGTTTATGTCACATCTACAAGCTAAGGGTAGAGAACAATTTATAGCACACGGGGAAAAACTGGGATTAACTATGTAACACCATAAAGGGCCTGATTTTATTTTCAACAAATAATGATTTTGTTATAGAGAAAAGATCACTCATCACATTCTGTCTCACAGGGTTTTAATCATCGGTCAGTCGTTCACATTGTAGTGAAGGAGCACAGGAAAACTGGTGTTTAATTTATTATATGTCAGGACTCTGATTGTGACTTGTCAACAGAACTACAGATTATTTCTGTCGGGCAGAACATGTAGATGTTGAGCAACTCATAAAACAATAATTTAAAACCCTGCATTCATGGAATTAATCACCGTGAGACATGGATTAGTTATTCATTGCTTAAGCATGTGTTTTTGTATCCTTATTATAAAGTGTCACCCAATGAGTTAATAACATAGTCATCGATGTGTGGGTGCGTCTCTGTTTCACTCCAAACTACTTCCTGTGCCCGACAGTTTCTAGGTAAAAATGGCGGTGGAGAAACGCTTGGCATTTTCTATTGTGCAGTTCCTACGTGATCAAACACCATTGCGGCGCTTTGAATTCCGATGAGCAGGAGAGTCTCGAAGGTAGGTCGACTCATTGTGCACTTATTTTTTTTTAGAAAGCACCTTTTCAAAATGTAGGACAGTGCTCCTGTCCTGTCCGTTTCAGAGCGAACTCAATGCACGATCTTACTTCGCTGTCCCGGGGTAGAGAGGATGAACAGGAGTGGGTTTATCATCAAAAAGAATCACAACTGACTGATGTGCAGTGTGTGTGTGGTGGTGTCTTTCATCCAATGTGAAAGATGGACAGGACAGTTTTTAATTTCTCGCTCTGAATGTGCAGCCAAAATTCTGACTCACCATCATAATACCGTTAAGTCTAAGACCATTTGTTTCGCTGTTATCTTGAAAGGGAGTCATTAATGTACTGTCATTGATCTCATCAAAATGATCCTGTCAATATCTCACTGATGCTCCACTACAGTTGCGATACAGTGTTTGGAGACCACCTTCAAGATCAGCTCCAGCGACTGCCATCTTGCTGTGCCTCAGCCTCTCACAGAGATATTCCTCAATTCCCTGCTCAAGGTGGGCGCCGACACAGCACACGGGACCTGGCTCTGTTTGTATCGGAACAGGTTTATTAGCATGAACCAATGCCACATACCACAGCATTTGGTAGCCTAAGCTAGTTAGCGATGCCCGACCCATGACCACACGACTGATCCATGTGTCAGTCTGAGTCTAAATGATCCAGTCATGATCCGTTAAAGACTTCTACGTGAGGGAAATGAGGATATTATAAATGGCACTTACAAACTTTGGGATAAACCTTTTTATTATTATATATGGTGCCCATAACCTTAACTCAGCTTTTACATCACCAGGATGTGCGTCATGGCTAAAACAAAATAAATGTATGTTCAATCTTCTACAGTCAAAGCTATTCACGGTAGACATTTGGACTTTTCCTGCTAACACGTCACACTGTCTGCCGTGAGAAAGGTCTTCTGAATACTTCATAGTCACTGTTTATTCACAGTTAATTTCACTTTGGTTTAAACAACATCAGTGATTTCTCTGTTTTGCATTTGCTCAGAATGACAACATAACCATACCAGAGACCTCCCCATCTCCAGAAGACATCGAGCGAGCAGAGCAGCTCAAGAATGAAGGTAAAGTTAAAACTCTTCGTTGGGAACAGAGAAGGGACGAGTTGATCCACGCAGCACTAAATGTGCTTCAGAAGTGTTTTTAGTTAACTACATTTCCAGCATAATTAACCCACACGTTAAACTACACTTTCACGTTACTGGTAGATGCTTTGTTCAGAAAGATAATTTTGGAGCCCAGCAGCTCCTTCTGTTATATATTCAGGTATTGTGATGTTTTCCATGTGTTTTATCATAGTCCTGAACATGTCTGAGCTGGAGCCAATAGCCCATTAATCAACTGGTCGATTGACAGGCAACTATTTGATAATCGATTATTTGTTTAAGACATTTTTCAAGAAAAATGCCAAAACATTTGGTGGTTGAAACTTCTCCAATGTGCTGATTTTGTCTGTCTTATATTACAGTAAATATCCTTTGTTTTTTTCAGCTTGTTGGCTGAAGATATTATCTTGGACTAATGATGTTTATTTTCACTATTTTCTGGTGTTTTATTGGCCAAACAGCAAATCAGTTCATTGAGAAAAATAATTAATAATGAACATAATTGTTATTTGTAAGAGTTCTCTGGCAAAGTTGTTACAGCATCTGAACTTTATGCACTCTGTGTTTTATTCTCAGGGAACAATCACATGAAGGAAAGAGACTACAGATGTGTGCGGTGGAGTGCTACACAAAGGCCATTGATCTGGACTAAGAAACGCCGTGTACTACTGCAACAGGTATTTACAACAACATGATTTTCACACTGTCGTTGTTTTCGCGCTGCTTTGAGCCGCTACTGTGGTTCGCAGATCTTTCTACGACAGCACACGGTGATGTAATGTTTTGAACTGGACTAGACAGTGCTGGTGAATTCAATCTTTCCTTTGTGCGCTACTATCTGAATATAATTAAAAGAGCTAGAGATAACGGAACAGCCTTTGACACTTGGCAGGGCTGCAGCTCACAGTAAACTGGGAAATTATACAGAGGCAACCGGTGACTGCGAGAGAGCCATTGGGATTGATCCTACCTACAGTAAAGCTTATGGACGGATGGGGTGAGTTTGATGTTATTTAAACAAGGTTTATTGAGTTTTACTGTGTCTGTCAAAAATAATACCTGTCCCTCTCTCTGTGGCTCCAGGTTGGCTTTGACAGCCATGAATAAATATCCAAGGCAATATCCTACTTTAAGAAGCTTTGGTATTAGACCCTGAGAACGACACCTACAAATCCAACCTGAAGATTGCAGAGCAAAGCAGAAAGAAGCAACCAGTCAGTGAGTAAAAACAGCTGTATTACTCTTATTTCATGTGACATAATGCGTATGCCATTAAGTGCACATGCACTGTATTGCATGAATGTTTGACCTTTTTCTGTCTGTGAATGTGCGCCGCAGATCGCCGCGGAATTGGGGTTCGACATGGCTAGTTTGATCAACAACCCTGCCTTCATTAGCATGGTGAGAGCACGGCTCCTAATGTGAGCACTGTACCGGCTGTGGTAACAAGCACAGCAG